TGCCAGCAGACAGCAGCACTGGTTTTCCACTGCCGGCCATTCATTGGACTTGGAGAGATTCGTTCCTTCCCTGGGACCAAGTCAACAAGCTGAGACCAGAGGAGCTGCAGCCCTGGCATGCAGAGTGAAGCCATTTCTGTTTGCATGCACACCGTGGGCAGCAGCTGTGCTCCGTGGCCCCCAGAGATGCTGATTCCCCACCTGTCCTACCTGCTGGGCACTGCAGTGTGACAGGGTTCAGGATTCCCAGGGATTGCTTTTTTTTTCGTACATAAGAAAAAACAAATTGTTATAGAGCCCAGAGACTTCATGTTTAAAGAGAGTGAAGGTGAACCTCTAAGCTGGGAAACAATTTTAGGATTGGTTCGCAGAGGCCCCTTGCATGCAAGAACCATGAAGTTTTAGGGCAAGAAAAGATCGTAAACCAACCAAGTCGGTGGTTCTTCAGTTTGGTAAAGAGACCCTTTGGTAACTGGTGAAAACAACTCACTCCCTGCCCTAAAATAACCCATGGACACACAAGGTTTGCTCACAATTTGGGGAGTGCAGGGACTCCTGGAGCCCACCTGTGGAAGGTCTTGTCTACTTCCAGTTCCATTCCTTTCCCACTTAGCCCTCTCATTTTGCAGAAGGGGAAATGTGAGGCCCAGAGAGGATGTAAACTCTTGCAAGAATAGAGGCTATAAGTGGTCCTACTGAACCCAAGCCTCCTATTCACATCTTTCTAAGAGATCGCATGATGCCCTCTCACCCCTGGAGCCTCTCTTCCCTTTGTCTTATTTTCTTTACTCTTATTGTCTTTCTTTTTCTTCATTTATCCCCTTTTGCCTTCTCTCCTTCGTTCTTCCCTCTTTCATTCTCATATGCTTCCTCTTTAAACCTTGTTTCCTCTGTGCTTTCTCTGACCCCACACTCTTTTCTTTCTTTCTGCCCTGTGCCTCAGGCACTCAAGCAACTGATCAGTCTTAACTCTGGGGTCCTCTGAATAGGTCACCAGCTCCTGGTGAATCCAAAGACATAAGGTGTAAACCTAGGAAAGAATGAAATTGCAGAAAGTAGTCAAATCAAGAAGAAAATCTCTCTCCCCAAATCTTCAGGATAGATCTAGCACAAATGGGTCTCTTCTTCCTTAGTAAAGAAAAGATGCATACAGAAAGAGGGAGAAATACAAAGTCAATCCTATAGGTCAGTGGTTCTCAGAGTACCATCCAGGACCCCTAGGGATCTCTGAGACTCTTTGAGGGGGTCTACAAGGTCAGAACTGTTTTCACCTTATGGTGAAAAGATAAGATATTCTTTGCCATTTTCACTGTGTTAACGTTTGAATTGATGATACAGAAACCACAGTGGTTAAAATTTTCTGGGGCCTTAGCATGTGTCAAGGCATTGAAACCAAATTGGATTCATGGTCACTGTACTCCTCACTGCTATGGAAAAGAGTTTTTTTAAAAAAGTAAATTTTATTTAAGAATGCCCTTAAAGAAGTGGTTCAAATTATTTATTTTATTAAATTTAGAACCTTGAGTACACATCTTTTTCTGTTTCATGACAAAATGAGAAACAGGTGTAACGCACTCCTACTGCCTCCTGAAGCATAATATTTGTCTTAAGGAAAAGTAGTCATGCAACTGAGAGGTAAGCTATACCGATCACCTTTTCCAGTTTTATCTGGAAGAATGACTGACAAACTGTGGTTATTTACACCTGTGTGTTTAGCAGATGTTTTCATAATAATGAACAAAGTGAGGGAAAGGATGTCGCTTCAAGGGCAGATTGACAATACTTTTTACCAATCGTACATTCAAGCTTTTGGTCAAAAATTAGAATGTTGGAAAATGTGTATCCACCACCATAAACTTCATGGCTTCACAATACTTAAAACTTTTCTGATTAGATCAGTGGAGATGGTAACAAATGGGACTACCTGAATTTTGGAATCAAATATGTTAACATTTGAAAGATCAGTATAAGTCAGTAAAGCAATGTTTTCCAAATGACCAATGCCTGCATTGGAAAAATGTCCCCTTGAAATGTAAGATAGATTAATAGATTTCACTATATCTGAGTACCAAATGTTCATTAATATGGTTTCAGACTCCACAATGCAACTAAATTTTAAGAAACTACCACATATTGAATTTTTGACGTAGTAGCAAAGAAAAATGTCTACAATTATCTGAAAATGTTATTAAAATATTCCACCCCCTTTCCCAACTGCATGTATGTACAAGGCAGAATTTCCTTCATCTACTTTAACTAAACACCGTATTATTGCAGGTTGAATATAACAGAAGATAAAAAAAAATCTACCAGTTTCAAGTCAGACTTTAAAGAGATTTACAAAAATGTAAAATAATACCACTCTTTCTTTTGGTAAATATGTGAATTGGTGAATTTTTTTAATTTCTCAGTTTTTTGTTTTTTTGGTGTTTTTTTTTTTGTGGTACGCGGGCCTCTCACTGTTGTGGCCTCTCCCATTGCGGAGCACAGGCTCCAGACGCGCAGGCTCAGTGGCCATGGCTCACGGGCCCAGCCACTCCGCGGCATGTGGGATCTTCCTGGACCGGGGCACGAACCCGTGTCCCTTGCATCGGCAGGGGGACTCTCAACCACTGCGCCACCAGGGAAGCCCTAATTTCTCAGTTTTAATTTCTAATACAGTAAATATGAATAGGTATAACCCATACAAGAAAAACTCTCTAGAGTCCTCAATAACTTGAAGGAACACAAAGGAGTCCTGAGGCTAAAATGTTTGAGCACCCCTGCTATAGACTGTCCTAGGAGGAAAGAGGGATAAATCAGTGCAGCACTCATTTGCTGAGCATCTAGAATGGGCAAGGCTCAGTGCTAAGTACTATGGGGGATCGAGCTCTTACAGACCGCACGGTCCAGTGAGAAGACAAGACATTAAGGTCAATAACTACACTACGAGCACAGGAGTGCCACTGGAGAGAAGAAATGAAGAGCCACCAGAGCGTCACGTGGGGTATAGGGAAGAGGTCTAGAAAAGTCTTCACAGAGGAGATAACAGTCGAGAAGCCCAAATAGAAACTGAACATTTAGAAAACAAAACCAAAAAGAGGCAGAGGGGATGGGGAGGGGTTGTGCCTCCCAAGCAAGGGGAAGAACCTGGGAACAGAAGAGCAGACGGTTTATTGAGTGGAGAGTAAATATTCCATTAGGACCAACTGAGGTACAGTATGCAAAGCCTCATGGGAGAAGCCCCTTGTACAGTTAGTGCTCCAGAAATGTGTGTCAGACGAATCTATATATAAAAACAATAATTGACTAAGCCATGGATGGGCTTATCTGTCTTATCAAGCCCACTTCCCACAGTGTAAAGGAGAAAGTTTTATGGATAAATCTGCTAGAGGCCAAGAGAAGTGACATAATTCATACAAAATCAGAGGCAGAGCTGGGCCCTGATCGAACTTCCCTATCCTGTCTTCAAAGTCTCCTTCACCAGTCAATTCCTTCTGAAGTCAAGTCCTGGCTGGAATTTCTCTGCCCAGCTTGGAAGTGATACCGAATGAATAAGGGTGAGCCAGACAAAAACTTGGAGGCTTATCATTTGAAGCACTTCCTCAGAATACCCACACCCTGATAGGAGCAGTGAGTACTCAGAAATGAAAACATACTGCTCTTGTCCTCATAGTCTCTTGAACAAGACATTCAGGGGGGCAAGACCCATCTGACCATGACTGAGAGAGAATAAGTACAGAGCACAGAGAAGACCTCTGTCTAAAGACCTCTGTCTAAAGACCTCTGTCTAAAGCTTCTAAAGAAGCTTTCAAGAGGGATGGAGAAGATGGGAGTGATTCAAGAGACTTTTAAAGGATACAGGCTGATTAGATGCATAGATACAGAGCACTCATTCACAGCCCTGCAGGGCTGTGAGTCTGTCTTCTTTGTCTCTGGATCCCTAACACTCAGCATAGGCCTATCATAACAGAGACGTTCCATAAATGTTTGATGAGCTACTCTGAATACAAGGGTGAGAAAGAGATATGCTCCTGAGACCCAATTTTTTTCCACCTTTATGAAGATATTTTTGATGTATAATATGTGTAAGTTTAAGATGTACAACACGATTTGATACATATATATATTGCAAAATGATTACCACGATAAGGTTAGTTAACACCTTCATTGCCTCTGATAATTACCATTTTTGTGTGTGTAGTGATAACTTTTAAGATCTACTCTCTTGGGCTTCCCTGGTGGTGCAGTGGTTGAGAGTCCGCCTGCTGATGCAGGGGACACGGGTTCGTGCTCTGATCCGGGAAGATTCCACATGCCGCGGAGCAGCTGGGCCCGTGAGCCATGGCCGCTGAGCCTGCGTGTCCGGAGCCTGTGCTCCGCAACGGGAGAGGCCACAACAGTGAGAGGCCCGCGTACCGCAAAACAAAAACAAAAACAAACAAACAAAAACAAAAACAAACAAACAAAAGATCTACTCTCTTAGCAACTTTCAAGTATGTAATACATTATTGTTAATTATAGTTACCGTGCCATACGTTAGATGCCCAGAACTTACTCCTCTTATAAGTACAAGTTTGCGCCCTTTGACCAACATTTCCCCATTTCCCCTACCCCCCAGCCCCTGGCAACCACAATTCTAGTGTCTATTTCTTTGAGTTTGATTTTTTTTAGATTCCACATATAATGAAGAACATAGAGTATTTATCTTCCTCTGTCTGACTTATTTCAGTTAGCATAATGCCCTCAAGGTCCATCCATGTTATTACAAGTGGCAGAATTTCCTTTTTTATGGCTGAATAATATTCCATTGTAAATATAAGCCACATTTTGTTTATGCATTCATATCTTGATGGACACTTAGGTTGTTGCCACGTGTTGGCTACTGTGAATAATGTTGCAATGAACATGGGGGTGCAGATACCTCTTCAAGAGAGTGATCTCATTTCCTTTGGATATATACCCAGAAGTGGAATTGCTGGTCATATGGTAATTCCATTTTTAATTTTTTGAGGAGACTCCATATGATTGCACCAATTTACATTCCCACCAACAGTGCACAAGGGTTCCCTTTTCTCCACAGGCTCACCAATACTTGTTGTCTCTTTTCGATAATAATCTTTCTAACAGGTATGAAGTGATACCTCATTGTGATTTTGATTTGCATTTCCCTAATGATTAATGATGTTGAGCATCTTTTCATGTACCTCTTGGCCATTCCTAAGACTCAGTTTCAAATATGCCACGTTATCTATGCTCTGGTCTGACTCCGCACTCTCCCCTTCTCCACCATTAGAAATCTTGCCGGTCATTGGGACCCAAATCTGCCACTTCAGGCAGCCTCTCCTGGACTGGCATTCGAAAGGTAGAAGGTGTCTGATTTCACTGCAGACAGAGCTTCCTAGGCAGCCACGACAAATGAGACCGTAGCCACTGCAGATCGAGTCTGTGTCACCTTCACACAGTCTTTCTCATCTCCCTCTCTCATCAGGCAGGGACCACAAGAACTGCACTGGTACCCTAGGTGTGAGTCAGAATCTCTGCAAGAAATGCTACAGTCAATACACATGACACAAGACTGATATGATGCCCTGGAACCGGGGGAGCAACCTGCAAAACTGATGCCAATCACCTCCTGAGGTCGCGCACTGTGCTCCTCCAGGATGGACGGGCTGCTCCCCAGCTTGCCCAGAGCAAGGAGGAAGCCTTCAGTGATGGAGACAGCAAGAGGATGAGCACCGCTAAAGAAGGGCTATTGCGTACTTCTCTCACTGCCCCATCAGCACTGACGTGCAGAGATTCAGCCCTACCCATCATCTCCAAAAATGCCCACATTTAAAACACTTCCCCTCTGGGGAATTGGCTGGCAATATAAGTGACACCATGAGATAGTTAATTACACCTGGGTGAACTTTGGTGCTGTAACTCACAGAGCTGTGCTCATCAGAACAAATGACACAAACTTAAGATGTAAGCAGGAGTCAGTGAGCTTTCAACAGGATAAATAGCAAGCCAAACCCAAACCCATGGACCTGAAGCAGTCTGGTCAACCCAAGACTTCCTAAGCACCATTTAAAGGGGAATCTCAGAGCACTTTCAACAGATATTTTTTGTTTATCAACAAAGCTTTAAAAGTGGGGGTTTCAGAGGCATGGTGGAGTGAGTAGGAGAAGCGGGGGCAGTCATGGAGTGCCTGAGGATGTATAAGAAAGAACTAACTTTACTGAAGAATATCTATTCATCTTATGAATCCAGGTAGAAGGTTACCTGTCCTGGACCCCCACTTACTCATGTGGAGTGACGCCTCCTCTCAGCTCATCTCATGTGACACCCTTTGCATCACCTTCTTACAACACACATAATGTATCATAGCACTCTATTTCCAACTCTGTCTCCCTATAGGACTCTGATGGCCCCTGAACTCAGGGACCTGGTGAAATTATCTTTGTGTCCCAGGGCTGGAACCTAGGGCTGGGCCCATAGTAGGAGCTTGGTATATTTAGAGGCTGTATTTTGAGTGAGACTCAAGTGAAAAACTGAAAAATGAACAAATTGATTAGAAGTGGAGATAAACCTAAACAAAGCCAATGTCCCAAGGGCTGCTCTGACCATGTCTTTCTGTTAAGCTGCTTTCTTTACCAAGAATAATACTGTTTGATCTTAATTAAAAACAGTTAGAACAGCTCTTGGAGGCACAGTAAATTTCAAACTCTAAAGAAATAGATTTTGATAAATATAGAGAACTGGGATTGTGTTTCCTTTGTAAAACAAATACCTTTAAAAATAGGGGAGACATTTTTAGGTGTGTGAGCTTTGAAATTCCCATAACCCAACATACTGGAAATTAGTGGCCTGAGCCCAAAATACAGACGGTTTCAACTGTCTTTCCATTGTCCATCCACATCCTGAAAATTATAGGAACAATCCCTACGATAAAAGATCACATTGAGCTGCAAATTCAAATCAGTCAGGTTCCAAGATTTAAATGGCTTCCTCTTTGGCATCTAGGTAAATATTACCAGTAAAATCCCTGCAAGCCCACAAAATAAAAGACCATTTTATTTAGCTCACAGAAACAATCCATACAACACAGGACAAGATGTCTCTCCAATAAACTTATGAAAATCTGCCTTTTTATAAGCCGAAATTACTATTCCCCCCGTTCTCCCGGGTTACATCTCTAAGGTCACTATAGCCAGAGCTCTCTCTGAATGTCAAGGGCTACTCAATTAATCTTCTTGTTTGCAGAGATTTGAAACCATTTAAGGAAGGTCAAAAACTAACATCAAGCAAATGCAGCTGAATTCCCCACTCTTGTGCAAATTTCACCTTCATTCTGTTCTTCTTTCCCCTTTCACTGTCTTTTCTTTGTTGACACTTTCTCCCCAACTTCTTTTTATTTCTTCTTTCTTCTCGTCTCTTCCTTTCTCTCTGTCTTTCTTATTTGCTTTACTCTGTTCCCTTCCCATTATGCAGGGTTTGGATTTTGGGTTATTATCCAATTACCCTGGAATATTTGGTCTATTTCATCCAAAAAACTATGTCTTCAGCATCCTTCCATTTACTCCCAGGAGTAAAGAAAGAAAACAGTGTAGGATGAGAATAAAGACAAATTGTGTTCCTCAATCTAAGTAAGTTAGAGGGACGAAACATACAGAGAGGAAGATTGCTGTGGTTTAGATTTTCAAGGTTTGACAAGTTCCATCCATTAAGTGAGTTAATACCTGTAACACTTAGTGCCTTTCATGCCACAGACACTCAAAAATGTTAATTTAATTGTTTCTGTCATCTTAATTATTAGCTGTGCTGATCAGCCCTGTCCCCAGCTTGTGATAAACAGCTGGTAGCAGTGGTTTGCTCATATGCTAAAGCAGTGAAAGGCCACTCTGAAGTTGGGAGGGGGCTGGATCTAGAACCCCACCTGCTACCATGCACTCCTCTGAGCAGAAGGCCTGTTCCTCCTCCACCACACAGGAGCAGGTAAGCAACAGGTAGCTGACAACCAACTTAAAAATAAAGAGAACAAAAGAAAAACAGGAAAGGAGAGCTTCCCTGGTGGCACAGTGGTTGAGAGTCCGCCTGCCGATGCAGGGGACACGGGTTCGTGCCCCGGTCCGGGAAGATCCCACATGCCGCGGAGCGGCTGGGCCCGTGAGCCATGGCCGCTGAGCCTGCGCGTCCGGAGCCTGTGCTCCGCAACGAGAGAGGCCACAACAGTGAGAGACCTGCGTACCGCAAAACAAACAAACAAACAAAAAAACCCACTAACAGGAGCTTCAAGATGGTGAAAGAGTAAGACGCGGAGATCACCTTCCTCCCCACAGATACACCAGAAATACATCTACACGTGGAACAACTCCTACAGAACACCTACTGAACGCTGGCAGAAGACCTCAGACCTCCCAAAAGGCAAGAAACTCCCCACGTACCTGGGTAGGGCAAAAGGAAAAAAGAAAAAACAGAGACAAAAGAATAGGGACGGGACGTGCACCAGTGGGAGGGAGCTGTGAAGTTGGAAAGTTTTCCACACACTAGGAAGCCCCTTCTTGGGCGGAGACTGTGGATGGCGGAGTGGGAAGCTTCAGAGCCACAGAGGAGAGCACAGCAACAGGGGTGCGGAGGGCAAAGGGGACAGATTCCCGCACGGAGGATCGGTGCCGACCGGCACTCACCAGCCCGAGAGGCTTGTCTGCTCACCCGCCGGGGCGGGCGGGGCTGGGAGTTGAGGCTCGGGCTTCGGTCAGAGCGCCGGGAGAGGACTGGGGTTGGCGGCGTGAACACGGCCTGAAGGGGGCTAGTGCACCACGGCTAGCCGGGAGGGAGTCCGGGGAAAAGTCTGGACCTGCTGAAGAGGCAAGAGACTTTTTCTTACCTCTTTTGTTTCCTGGTGCGCGAGGACAGGGGATTCAGCGTGCTGCTTAAAAGAGCTCCAGAGACGGGTGCGAGCTGCAGCTAACAGCGCGGACCCCAGAGACGGGCATGAGACGCTAAGGCTGCTGCTGCCGCCACCAAGAAGCCTGTGTGCGAGCACAGGTCACTATCCACACCTCCCCTCCCGGGAGCCTTGCAGCCCGCCACTGCCACGGTCCCAGGATACAGGGACAACTTCCCCGGGAGAACGCACGGCGCGCCTCAGGCTGGTGCAACGTCATGCCGGCCTCTGCCGCTGCAGGCCCGCCCCGCACTCCGTGCCTCTCCCTCCCCTCGGCCTGAGTGAGCCAGAGCCCCCGAATCAGCGGCTCCTTTAACCCTGTCCTGTCTGAGCGAAGAACAGACGCCCTCAGGCGACCTACACGCAGAGGCGGAGCCAAATGCAAAGCTGAGCCCTGGGAGCTGTGAGAACAAAGAAGAGAAAGGGAAATCTCTCCCAGCAGCCTCAGGAGCAGCGGATTAAATCTCCACAATCAACTTGATATACCCTGCATCTATGGAATACCTGAATAGACAACGAATCATCCCAAATTGAGGAGGTGGATTTTGGGAGCAACGATATATATTTTTTCCCCCTTTTTCTCTTTTTGTGAGGGTGTATGTGTATGCTTCTGTGTGTGATTTTGTCTGTATAGCTTTGCTTTTACCATTTGTCCTAAGGTTCTGTCCATCCGGGGGTTTTTTTTGTTACTTAAAACAATTTTTTTTCTTCACAATTATTTTTTATTTTAATAAGTTTATTTTATTTCATTTTATTTTATCCTCTTTCTTTCTTTCTCTCTTTCTTTCTCTTTCTTTCCCTTTCTTTCTCTTTCTTTCTCTCTCTCTCTCTCTCTCTCTCTCTCTCTCTCTCTCTCTCTCTTGCTTGCTTTCTTATTTTTTCTCCTTTTATTCTGAGCTGTGTGGATGAAAGGCTCTTGGTGCCCCAGCCAGATGACAGGGCTGTGCTTCAGAGGTGGGAGAGCCAAGTTCAGGACACTGGTCCACAAGAGGCCTCCCAGCTCCACGTAATATCAAACGGTGAAAATCTCCCAGCGATCTCCATCGCAATGCCAAGACCCAGCTCCACTCAACGACCAGCAATCTATAGTGCTGGACACCCTATGCCAAACAACTAACAAGACAGGAACACAACCCCACCCATTAGCAAAGAGGCTGCCTAAAATCATAATAAGGCCACAGACACCCCAAAACACACCACCAGACGTGGAACTGCCCACCAGAAAGACAAGATCCAGCCTCATCCACCAGAATACAGGCACCAGTCCCCTCCACTATGAAGCCTCCAAAACCTACTGAACCAAACTTAGCCACTGGGGACAGACACCAGAAACAACAGGAACTATGAACCTGCAGCGTGTGAAAAGGAGACCCCAAACACAGTAAGTTAAGCAAAATGAGAAGACAGAGAAGTACGCAACAGTTGAAAGAGCAAGGTAAAAACCCACCAGACCAAACAAATGAAGAGGAAATAGGCAGTCTACCTGAAAAAGAACTCAGAGTAATGATAGTAAAGATGATCCAAAATCATGGAAGTAGAATGGAGAAAATAAAAGAAACGTTTAACAAGGACCTAGAAGAACTAAAGAGCAAACAAACAATGATGAACAACACAATACATGAAATTAAAAATTCTCTAGAAGGGATCAATAGCAGAATAACTGAGGCAGAAGAACGGATAAGTGACCTGGAAGATAAAATAGTGGAAATAACTACTGCAGAGCAGAATAAAGAAAAAAGAATGGAAAGAACTGAGGACAGTCTCAGAGACCTCTGGGACAACATTAAATGCACCAACATTCGAATTATAGGGGTTCCAGAGGAAGAAGAGAAAAAGAAAGGGACTGAGAAAATATTTCAAGGATTATAGTTGAAAACTTCCCTAATATGGGAAAGGAAATAGTTAATCAAGTCCAGGAAGCACAGAGAGTCCCACACAGGATAAATCCAAGGAGAAATATGCCAAGACACATATTAATCAAACTATCAAAAATTAAATACAAAGAAAAAATATTAAAAGCAGCAAGGGATAAACAACAAATAACACACAAGGGAATCCCCATAAGGTTAACAGCTGATCTGTCAGCAGAACTGCAAGCCAGAAGGGAGTGGCAGGAAATATTTAAAGTGATGAAGGAGAAAAACCTACAACCAAGATTACTCTACCCAGCAAGGATCTTATTCAGATTTGATGGAAAAATTAAAACCTTTACAGAAAAGCAAAAGCTAAGAGAATTCAGCACCACCAAACCAGCTTTACAACAAATGCTAAAGGAACTTCTCTAGGCAGGAAACACCAGAGAAGGAAAACACCTACAATAACAAACCCAAAACAATTAAGAAAATGGGAATAAGAACATACATATTGATAATTACCTTAAATGTAAATGGATTAAATGCTCCAACCAAAAGACATAGACTGGCTGAATGGATAGCAAAACAAGACCCGTATATATGCTGTCTACAAGAGACCCACTTCAGACCTAGGGACACATACAGACTGAAAGTGAGGGGATGAAAAAAGATATTCCATGCAAATGGAAATCCAAAGAAAGCTGCAGTAGCAACTCTCATATCAGACAAAATAGACTTTAAAATAAAGACTATTAGAAGAGTTAAGAAGGACACTACATAATGATCAAGTGATTGATCCAAGAAGAAGATATAACAATTATAAATATTTATGCACCCAACATAGGAGCACCTCAATACATAAGGCAAATGCTAACAGCCATAAAAGGGGATATCGACAGTAACACAATAATAGTAGGGGACTTTAACACCCCACTTTCACCAATGGACAGATCATCCAAAACAAAAATAAATAAGGAAACACAAGCTTTAAATGATACATTAAATAAGATGGACTTAATTGATATTTATAGGACATTCCATCCAAAAACAACAGAATACACATTCTTCTCAAGTGCTCATGGAACATTCTCCAGGATAGATCATATCTGGGGTCACACATCAAGCCTTGGTAAATTTAAGAAAATTAAAATCATATCAAGTGTCTTTTCCAACAACAACGCTATGAGACTAGATATCAATTACAGGAAAAAATCTGTAACAAATACAAACACATGGAGGCTAAACAATACACTATTTAATAACCAAGAGATAACTGAAGAAATCAAAGACGAAATTGAAAAATACCTAGAAACAAATGACAATGAAAATACGATGACCCAAAACCTATGGGATGCATCAAAAGCAGTTTTAAGAGGGAAGTTTATAGCAATACAATCCTACCTTAAGAAACAGGAAACATCTCAAATAAACAACCTAACCATACACCTAGAGCAATTAGAGAGAGAAGAACAAAAACACCCAAATTTAGCAGAAGGAAAGAAATCATAAAGATCAGATCAGAAATAAATGAAAAAGAAATGAAGGAAACGATAGCGAAGATCAATAAAAGTAAAAGTTGGTTCTTTGAGAAGATAAACAAAATTGGTAAACCATTAG